TCGATAAGTCATTAACTTCTCTTTGGCTCACCCAAGTGATATACCTCGAATGGCAGAAATAGGAGGCATCCGATATAACATGGGAGTGAGAGGAACAACGAGACAAATGAAAAAGTTGGTTTTCCTGAGACTTCGTTATTAATACTAGCCTAATATTAGGTAGATTTGGTAATATTTCGTCTTTACGAAGCGGTTTATGACATAAGTGACCTAAAAACTGTCATCAACACCGAAGGTGGTTTTTCATAAGTGCCGAGACTTCAATCCAAATCAATTTAAGCTTCATGCTGCCATGTCATAGAGTAGCGTTTCGCCCGACGGATAGACCTAGGATATCTTAAATTTGCACTGCTTTTGCATTGTACCTAAGGAATTTTCCCAGACCTCCCCAAACCAAGGTACTTATTACACACACACACCTTTGACTGAGGGTAGTGGTGTCCGGATCGGTCAGAAAATATACTTTGCAGAAGCCTGCCACGGTAGCACTCACTCATGCAATGTTCGTCCGAAAAAGACAAAATGGTAAATAATTGGCAGCTGTGTGAAACACTTGACACAAATGACAAAAGTCCTTATACTCATACCGGATTACACTTGATCGTGTTTAAAAATACTGACAATGATCCTATTTCATTTGGTCCATTGTGTTCAACAACAAGCCTGAAACGAGCAAGTTCAAAACACTATACCATCACAATTGGTTTCCATGCCTTCAAGGTATCAAATGTATTTTTTCATTCATCAGTGTCGTAGGTTCCGCTTCCCGGTTATCGGAGGTTTTCTTACGGTATGGAATTCTATAAACGCTTGTAATGAATGTGCAGGAATTTGAGCTTTACGTGGATTGTCTTACTTGCAGTGACCAAAACGCCTTGTCTTGGTCTGAACATGGTCCGAACGATTGATAAGCCTATGTCCGTTCCGCGTAACTCCAGACGGTCAGGCTGCGCGTAGCTGAAAAACTAAGAACAATGGTGAAAATCGGGAATAAATTCGAACCAGAAACAGGGATTTAGGACGCGAGCAGTTACGTTTGGTTTGGAGAGGAGAAATCAACGGACAGCTACTTTCAGTAGTGATTTTGCTTTGAAAGACTTGATTCTTAAATTTTCAACAGCCGCGGGTGGCAATACATTTTTTCCAGTTTTTCTCAAATTGACAAACATTCTCATACTTCCTAAAAGCGTATCATTTCATTTGATCTTCGTGAACTGATCTCAAACTCGCTGAATCATTTCGTTGACAAACAAATTTGCCTATCGTTGGGTTCTTAATCGTAGGTTACACTCGCTGTCACTTTATTGAAATTCGATAGAACCCGCCCCCCCCCGAATTAGTGGCAATACTCCATCTCCGAAACATTGGAACAAATCGGTAGTTCTGAAAAGTTATTGGGCAATGGCCTTTATTCCCTTGCGCCTGTTCCCGAGCTTGGCAATTTGTTTGCAAACGTTTCATCACCAGCCGAGGTGACATCATCAGTGCGTGTTAAGTGGCCACTTCACTCGGTTAAAAACAGTTTCCATCGAGTGCTTCAAACCTGGTGATTAAAAAGAAGTATTTCTCCGGATTAACGATATTTTTGATCAGAATATTTTAACCAGCTTCAATAGACGAATATCGCGTCCGGTTTTGTCTGGGGCATACTCAGTGACATCATCCTGACAAACTTCAACCTCGTCGATAGCTCCAAGAAGGTTAGTCATCACTTGTTTGGTAAATCGCAAGTGAGTTACTCAGGCCAAAGATAAATCTGTTAGCATAGTCCATATGGTATATTTATATTGGTTATTTCCATCGCTGATTCGTGCAGAGTGATCTGTAAACGTGGATCTTTCAAGTCTACTTTGGAAACCATCGAGATAGTGAGTAAATTCCAAATATCTTTCGGGTTATCAGTGGTAAAGATCTGCCGTTTCAAGTAACGATTTACAGTCAAACGGTAGTCGCTACTACTTCTAGTTGTCTTTCAATCTAGTTTCAATCAAGTTACAGTCGGTGTGGCATACGAGGAAGAATCCACTGGTGCCAAGATTCGTGTCCCGACGAAACGATTCAGCGGGATTGAAACTGGTTCACGAAGACCAAATGAAATAATACGCTTTCAGGAGACATGAGAATGTTTGTTACTTCTGGAAAAATAGAAAAATTCATATCACCTGTGTCTGCGAGGCTTTCTGCCTGGGTCATGTGACAAATTTGGCTCGCATGCTTTCTGTCGTCGTTTTGCACCACAGAACAATGCGTGGCTCGTAAATATACGGGATGTTTGTAAATGCAAAAGGGGTTAGTAGACTTGCGCGTTAGCCAGCGGAACAGTCTGAAAGCCAGTCCGATAAACCAATAACATGACAAGTCGAAATCATTTTTATGTAGTTCGAAATCGACTTGATATTCTTATGAATAGTTTTCACATAGTTTCAAATCATTTTAACATAATTCTGAAAGAAAAACGAAACATTCTATAGTGTTAACTTGGATAAATTCCATGCAGTTTTCTGAGACATCAGTTAGAGATAAATGTTTGTCACGATGATTTTGTGTGAGCTACATTACGTCACATGTTTCACGTTGACTTTTACTGAAAAGAATTATTCTAGTTAATGTGGAATAGCATCCATGCGGAACACCTGCATGTTCGTAAGCACCATACGTTTAACCTAGATCGACTACTAACGCGCATTGAATTAGCCAGTCTCAGAATACGGTTTGAAATAGTCTCCAAGGCGGCAACATTTTTCATTCATTCACCCTGTATACAAGGAAAGTTGCGTCGTACTAAAGGTAAATACTGGTGTCAAGTATGTTGGCTTGGATTTAAATTCCTGTCTTATGGGTTGTTATCTCACCCGGTTACCAACGCCGGAGTAAGAGGTTGGCTCGATGGAATTCGCTCCAACCTTCTGATAGGACAACAGAACCTCCCAAGGCAGGGTATAGATCAGTGCATCGAGTCCGCAATACATTAGTGATCGGTGTCCATTCCGTCGGGTCTCGTCATTCGGACGGGGTTCCCACGTTTAGGGTACCTAATACATGCAGTTCGGCCACTGGTCTCATCAATAATCCTTGGTTAGTAAGTAGTAAATCAAATTTTTCCATTTCCCCTTAACGAGCCAGTTGCCGGTAGTTGTTAACTAATTTTAAACCTCGGAGATGAGCTTCTGTCCTCTTCAACGCAGTGAAAATACTAGAAAGCAATGTATAAGCCTGTGAACCTAAATCCTAATCGAGGGGTGAGAAAACGGTCAAACTCGTCATTATAGCTGCTCTTCAAATTCAGCGATCTCGGCCCATTTATGTATGCTCTCAGATAGCCCCTTGATTGTCCGCATTTCTCGTCCTGAAAATAGTCTGTACAGTTATATATTCAAAAAGTAGAAAATAAGATAAAAGCAGTACGTTTATCACTTATCCTGAGAGGACGGTAAAATCTACCTACCGAATTATCCACCCATTATCAAATCAAGTTGTTTGTATTATACTCTCTCTCTCTCTCTGTTTTAGATGATCGCAATGTTTCCCCCGCAGAATGTGAAACCCCCGCCCCTCTGACCTCCCTCGCTGCCCAGCCGGTAGTTTATCCCCCGGTCATCCGTTTAATGCTGTTAACCTCAGACCATGCACCCATTGGGACAGTCTTTATCGTCACAAGCGAAGAGTCGTCCAAGGGGCGAGCAGTGATTGGTAGCAGTTCGGCCATGTGTCCGACCATCCACTTCACTGGTGATCCCGCCGTTGACCCAGTACGTGTCTGTTGGTCTCTGATTGTGTTGCTTTCTTGTCCATTGCCATATCAACTAATTACGGTGGCCACCGTTTGAGTTGTTTTCAGGCGGCCTGGATACTCTCTGTAAACATCAACAGTTGCAAATTATCCTCACCTAACTGATTGATTGTTGACCGCACGTTTTGTCGTCGGCCGGTTACACGGAAGATTTTCCAATATTCTGCCCGAGCGTGCGCAGGTTCGATAACTGTTCATGCTAGAATCCATTTCACAGCACCATTCGCTTAGAGACAACACAAAAAGGTTCCCTTGCTCAAAATAGACTCGACATCTTCATACGATGCATACGATCAGTTCGAGTCCTCACTACAGAAAATCCAGACATGTTGGTTTCTCTTTTGTCCTGCTTAGCACATTTCTATGGATTCCTAGTGCTGCGACAAACCGGAGTGATCTTGAATTTCATACGAAACACCGTCGCTTTCTTCGGCCCTAAATAGTTTGATTGTTTGTTATTACTTTCTTTTTATTTACTTATGCATGTGCGTATGAAGTACTCTAATCATTGTTTTATTACGCTTGATGGTAACTGATCAGACTATAATAATTATTAATATTATTGAAACTCATCATTGCAAGAAAAATCATCACTTTGATCGCTTAACTCTATGCCACTCGGCGCGCATCTAGGTCGCAGTTAGGATGTCGAACACCAATCTACTGAGTAATCATTAAGGAGATGGGTTGAGACTCATCATATAGGCAATCGACAACGATCAGTGATAGTGCTGGAAGACAATAGGGTTTACTTGACTGGTACTGTGCACTATGCCTAGGTCTATAGATCGCACGGTGAAGTGGCGGTCGACGGCCACCAGTGAGTACGGCTATTGTCCCTGTCGTGTTCCATCTACCTGAAATATTTTCCCCTAAAGCGTGAATGAACCGCACCACAGACCAACGGCTCGTCTGTAATAACCTTATTGCCTTGCAAGCTGTACTTGGATGTGCAAAGGTTAGTGGTGCAATCGCAATTAAAAAAGCTGGATGAGGTGCTGTTAGCGCACTTCCTACTCCCAACTGGGTGACTTAGTAGTAAAACAGCCCCCAACCGGTACTCCGAACTCTGTTTCGTATCCTATTCCTATTCCTGCGAAACCCCTTGTCCTCCAGGAGGTGATAATTGAGGAAAGGTAAGTAACATTAGAGGACATCTGGGCTAAATCTATATTGGTTATCGATTTCACTTGCACTCCTTCGGTTTATCTATACATTGATGTCGAACGAAGAACATGCGAGTTAAAACTATATGTTGGTGATGCACAGGTTATAGCATGCAACGAAACGAAAGATATATGCCACAACTTGAACTTTCTGAATTCCGATATCACGCTTATTTTCGAATACGAACATCATTCCAGTCGGTTGTCAGACGGCAAAATTCGGCTATTTATGTATTACAAGCCTGTTTGGACAGGACAGTGCCGCCACTTTAGGAGTTGCTGCCCTGTGAAATATAAAATTGGTCTGGTGCGGACTCTGTTTCACAGAGCTCGCTAGCTATGTAGCCCACAAGTTTTCCCAGCTGAATTTGATAGGTTCCCTCATGCTTTATTGGGTAATGACAACTCGGTCAACTACAGATGGATGTTGTTTATCGCAGAGAGGGGCGACTTCTATACCGATCTGGTTTTCAAAGGAGATGAAGTGACAACTGGAATATCCTGTGGTCTAACACATGCCGTACGGGACCGATAAGCTTAGGATTTTTCACGAGACATTTCATTGTTCCACTCACGCTGGTTCAAGATCGAGAGGACATTAGTGTATCTGTTCATTTCAGTGCACCTGAGATCAGTGTTATATCGGGCGGACAGAACGTCATTTATCAACCAGAATGTGCGAACACGTCTTAAAAGTCCTTGGTTTCCTCGGAGGAAAACTATGTTGGAGTTACAACACCTGCATTGGTAACCTCACCTCGATAAATAGTGAAATTATTAGAGAAAAAACGGAGTAATCTAAGTGGTCATATGATATACGTTGCTGTTTTCGGTGATCCGATTCTAGGTTTGAAGCGCCGTATCCTTAGTTGGATTCAGTGGTGCAGTCAGCTGTATTGCCACTCAGTACAAACGCATTGAGGTCTCTTTATGGTTTATCGTTTCTTATCTCTCGATAACGGTTGTTTCATAGTTCAACTTATGCAGCTTTCTGACGTTTGTTGCGATTTGTTGCAGAGACATGGCTGTTAAGGGAGAGGGATAAAAACAGACTCGATCTTTTAACGCCTGTATGTACGCCACATTGCAAGCATCCGATTGGACACTCAACTCTGAGATTAAGCGAAGAATTTCAATCGCTCACTGGAGCACATGTTCGAGCTTTATCGAATGCAATGGCTTGAGCGGTTATTAGGTACGTCTTCAGATAGGCTCTTGCGGCATACGATTTGTGTCGAGATTGATGTTGGGTAGAAGATAGCTAAAGATGGTCAAAATCTGACTTGATATATTATGAAAATCCTGACCGGGAAACTGATTCATACGATTCACATCCGACTTCCTGGTCAGGGACTTCGCGCCCAACCCAATCGATGGTGAGAGACACTGAGTAATATGGCTGTGCCGTAAACAATGGCACTGGAGCATCTACTCACCTAAAAAATCCAGTCCATCTGTTTTGTGTATCTTTTTGATCATACTCTTATCTTTAAACTCTTCTATTTCCTTTATGATCATTATTTGACTCGATGGACCGCTGGAAAACACGAATCAAAACTGTTGCACGACAGTGCATGGTTGATGTCTGTGTAGACTGAAAACTGATGGATCAAATTTTGTTTTGGCAAGTAGCCGACAAATCTTTACTTATGTTGAAATTGTGAAGGCTCAGTATCCTCAGTTGCATTCAAACTCACGCTTAAACGCTACCTACTCTTCTGCACAACGTTCACACTATCCTCTAGTGCAGTATATCTTTGTCTATTCCTTTTTCCATGTACCACGTTATTTTATGTAGCGACAGAAACGGAGCAGTTGTAACCTGTGCTCCTGTGATAGATAGTCAATCAAATCAATGTTTATTATTATTACTACTCTATTAGTATTATTGGTGCTCTTTATTAATTGCACAATTTCAGATTCATTGTGAAATCATATACGACGAAGATGATCGGAGATATGCGTTGATGGATCGCGATTCTGAATCCGGGACCTATTTGAATGGGCGCATACTAGCCCAGGTAAGTTGCTGACTGTTTTGCATGTTATCATCATTACGGATGTGACAATTTTCGGAAGCTGTAAGTTCGTTCCATAAAGACGATGAAGCCAAGATGCGTGTATCTTGCCGATCTGAAACCCTAACTACCTGCACTACCTCCACATATTGTTGTTACGACATCGTGACGAGACTGCACATTGACGTGGTGTGATAACTTGCGTGCCTCCATGACCGTGCGAGATACATAGGATGGCTTTTCACAACCGCAGATCTAATCATTTCTGAAAGGTCAATGGGTAGAGGCCATCCAAAACTCAGTCTCACAAGGCCAGCTGCATGGGCACTTCTTGGCTTTCTTTGTCTATGCACGCTCACCTCTGGAGAGATCACCCTAGGAAAGAAACATGGTAAAAAAACGCCAGCTGGACGTAGGAGTGGGGTACCTGGCTTCTTTCTCACGGTAGGAGAAGTTTTCACACTTCTTTGAGCAGCCACCGCCCGCCCAAACTGTGCAACCTCCAGCCAATAACGTGTTTTCCCGTCCGCGTTCGCCTCGTCTCGTTAAGTACAGGAGACTAAGGTCTAATCCGCAATAGCGGACCTATAATCAACGCATCAGTGAACAAGAAACTGAACCGAAACCCGAAGGCCTTGCTTGTCAGGTCTATAGAAGTTCCCGCACGAATTCTTCCGCCACAATTCCGTGTTGGATCTGCGCTCCACTACCTTGTGTAGTTGAACTCCTCCCAGGGAACAGAGTTCTTGACTTAGGATATGACGATGACATCGCCTTGCAGGGTGACAACCCACAGGCAGTCCAACACCCTTTGAACCGCCTGGTGATCGAGGTATCCAGGAATGGTATGTCCTTTGCACCGTCCAAATGCAAGGTGCTTGTACAAGACTTGTCTGAGCTTGTACCTGAACTCACCCTCTGTGGTGATCGGATGGAAGTGGTTAAGAGCTTGATCGCAGTTAGTGGTGCTATTGGGTCGGAGATTACATCACGAATAGAGAAAGCTAGAGTGGCTTTCCTCAACCTGCTACACCTGTGGAGCCTAAATGATATCCGACTGTCCCTTAAGGGAGGGGTGTATATCACCGCGGTTCGCAGCGTTCTTCTCTACGGTTGGGAGACCTAGCCCCTCCGCGTTAAGGATGCTAATCGACTTTCTGTATTCGACCACCGATGTCTCTTAAGCATTGCTCGTGTCTGGTGGGAAC